CAAAACCCCCCCAAAAAAAAAAAAAAAAAAGCTGCTGAGGGTGGCTCAGTGGTAATAGGGTCGTTGGTGGTAATAAACCCTCCAGCTCTCTGTAGTCTGGCTTTACTGATTATACATGTTACAATACGTGAAAGCATTATTGAATATCCTTTAAGCCTTTGTCCATGAGCAGTGTGTCTCAACTGAGTTTAGGAAAACCATTGGCCGATAATGAGTTCAAGATTGTAGATTGTACTTCAGTACAAGAGCCCAGTAGCTATTCTCTGATGCCCTGTCCAATAGAATGAAATTGACATGTCCTAGTCAGTTTTGTTGGAGAGAGGCTAATATCGGGTACAGAAGTTGAGTTCATGAAACTTCCATGATTTCACACTCCACCTGGCACGTCCGCCCTGCCACACACCTTCCTCACTCCCTGCTTACCGTTTTGGCTTATTCTCCCTTGGCTGTGCCATCCTTGCTGTTCTTTCAAGGTATGGAGCCTGCTCCTGCCTTAAGGCCTTTGTACATGCTGCTTGCTCTTCTAATGCTGAGCTGACCAATTCTTTTTCTCCTCCTCCTCCAGGTTTTAAATGTTACTTTTTGATTTCTGATCTAACTCCAATAGGTTAGATTCCTCCCTTTCGTCATTCTCATGGCACCTTGTACGTCAATGTTTTTAACCCTTAACACACCGTAAGAATGTGATCACCTGTCCAAATGTTTCCTTAATGTGTGTTACCCCACCAGCCCAGCAGCTTCCTGCTCAGCATGAAAGGCCTTTCTCAATATCTGGTGGATGGTACGTGCTCAGTGACTAGGTCCTCGATGAGTAAGAGAGCCAAGCAAATGCCTAGGCATGAGAAAGGGCCGAGGTTATTGACCAAAATTTGTTCTTTGAATCCATCTGCAGAAAGGAACAGGACTGGAGGCCCCTCTGAGCTACACTCCAATGGTCTGTAGAGAAAGTAACGCCTCAGACAGAGGATAAGCAGATGGCCATCCTGGCTAAAATTAACCTCATTGGACACTTTTAGGTGCTTTGTTTGGAGCAATAGTACTGCTCCCTGCTATCGAGATTACTTTGTTTTTCTTTCTGACAGAGTTGATCTCAAGCCTCAGCTCCCTCAGCCCTAGTTCTTTTTTTTTTTTTTAACTTTATTTATTTATTTATTTAGAGGGACAGAGAGAGAGAGAGAGAGAAAACGAGAAAGCCACGTTTGGAACCCAAACCACTGTCAGCCATGTGGGAGTCCAGCACCCTTAACCACCAAGCCACCTGCCAGCTCCAGCCCCAAGTTCTTTGTAATGGGCTTTGCTAGTCCTGTCCTCTGGCCAAATGGCTCTGTCTCTTAAATGAGGCTGCCCTCTCCATGGAAAAGGTCTCTGCTGTTATCTTAGAGCTGAACAAAAGCCTCTGCTCCTCACTTCTTTGAGAGCAGCCCTAGGGTCCCCTGGGAACAGCTGTTCTCTCTCTGCAGGTGTATAACCATGATGATAAAGGGAATCACACCAAGCACCATCAAGAACTTCTACCTCGCTGGCTGCAAGGTGAGGACAACCTAGGTGGGGCATGTGGCCCCAGTGTGTGTGTGTGTGTTGGAGTAGACGTTGCGGATGGAGTGGGGAGATCTTCAAGAATATCTGAGACTCAGATTTCACCCGTCAGGCCCGGCTCCAAAAACCAATTTGAAAGCACCCACTTAAGAGTAGCAGTATTTGATTTGGTCAACTGAATATATATATTTTTAAATCATCAATTTATTTTGAAAAGGATGTTTTAACACCAAAAAAAGCAGAATGCTTTAATATTAGGTGGGATGAGTAGCAGTATATCCTCTCCCCCCAAAATGGCAAATCATTTAGGGCAATCTTGTTGAAGCCGTGAGATCTTTCCCCATCTGGGTCCAGTGAGCACATCATGTTGGTAGTAGATGATGTAATCCAGTCTCTTGTTATCAGAGAGGGAAACTGAGACCCAAGAAGGGGAGAAGAGTGCCCATGATGACCAGTTGCTGAGTGGTAGTGCTGGGTTCAAACCTCGGGACTCCCGATTCCGGTTCCCTCTGTGAGGCCACCATTGACCTGAAGGGTCCCACAGTGAAACAGAATTTTTCTGTCATGACCCTTCGCTCACATACCATCAGCAAGCATGTCACAGTGCTGCTGTCATCACATCTCAGGCTGTTGGAAATGCCGACTGTGTCAAAGACTACATGGTCCTCACCTTCATCCTTAGTGGTATCTTTGCATTTGATCAGCATTTCTCAGCAAACTCTTTGGTCCCAGAAGGACCCCAGGTTCTGATGACATGCAAGGTATACTAAGACCCTTTCAAAGTCCCTAGCTCCAGGAAGCTTTATTCCCTATCCTTTAAATTCTTGCTTTTAAGGTGTACACACACAAATAGCCTCAGACTCCATGCGTGGTATACCCCTCAGGCCCTTCCATGATCAGTCCATGACTTTAGCCCAGGAGTTTCAACATGCAAGGCTTGTGGTCAGGCATGTGGATTGGGATCCAGCTCCGCTGCTTACTGGTAGGTGATTGCAGGCAAGAGCAGGAACCTTGAAGCCTCAGTTTCTCCATCAGTAAAATATGGAAAATAGTGAACCGACCTCACGGGGTTGTGATGAGAATTGATTGAAATCAGCTGAGTGCAGTGCCTTGGACATAGTACACACTCAGAAAGTGGTAGCTCCTGTCATTTGTGTGAGTCCATGACTTTAGCCCAGGAGTTTCAACATGCAAGGCTTGTGGTCAGGCACGTGGATTGGGATCCAGCTCCGCTGCTTACTGGTAGGTGACTGCAGGCAAGAGCAGGAACCTTGAAGCCTCAGTTTCTCCATCAGTAAAATAGGGAAAATAGTGAACTGACCTCACGGGGTTGTGATAATTTATTGAAATCAGCTGAGTGCAGTGTCTTGGACATAGTACACACTCAGAAAATGGTAGCTCTTCTAATTTGTGTGTTCAGTTGCAAAGGTTTGAGCACCTCTGCAGCATGGCATTCCCTCACAGCACGTCTGTAGCATCGCAGCAGGCCAGCAGAGGGTGCTGAGAGTTCAGCATACCTTAATCCATGGGCTTGCCTTGCTTTCTCAGTACAAAGAACAGTCGCTCATCACCGCCTGCGAAAAGTGGCTAGAAATGAACTTGGTCCCTCTGGTTGGGAAACAGATCCACCTCCGGAAAATCCCACAGGAGCTGCTCCACAAAGTGCTGAGGTCCCCCAGGTCAGAGCGGGTTCTGAGGATGCTGCCCTGGGGTGGCATGGGTGGAAGTGGGGGCTGGATGGGAGGAGGTGCTTTAATGGGGGCTGTATCCACACTCCTACTGGACACGTCCATGTTTTTCTGGATTCCAAACTTCCTGCCTTCCTGAACATGCAGGTCTTAGATGGCGACAAAATTCAGGGTACTGTGTGTGGGGTTGGGGAGCTAGTCCCCTTTTGTGCTCTTTCTCTGGGTAGAGACCTCTGGGTGCACGCTGTCTCAATACTCCACTAGGTGAAAAAGTGACTTTATTATCTAAGCAATTGAAAAAAAAAAAAATCCTGACATTAATACACATTCATTGTGGAAAGTTTAGAAAACATGGAGAAGCAGAGAAAGGAAAATAAAATCATCCACACTAAAGTAGTTTATATCTTCAACCCTGATTCCACTGAATAGCTCCAGATCTAGATATTTGACTGTCTGCTTGGCCTAGCTGACAACTAAAGCTAAAACCCAACTCTTAGAGCCTCCTGGGCCCTTACTGTACTCCACTCCCTCCCTAGGGCTCCTCAACCATCTGAGCAGGCAAGACTTTGAGAGTCTTTCTGGATACCAGTCACTGTGACCTCACCCTGATCATGAAGTCAGCTCTGCTTCCAAACTGAGCCCATGTCTATGGGCCTTTCTGCAATGGGCACTAACCCCAGCCCAAGGCAAACCTCCATCCCCCTTCATTCAAACCACTGAAGTGACCTCCAATTCGGAGTCTTGCTTTTGGTCTTAACCTCATTCTGATCACATTTCTGGCCAAAGCCTTTGGCTCTGTTGATCTACCTCCTTCATGTCTTGTATCGTGTGACAACCCTGGGGACCTTCCATAGATGACCCTGATGAGCTTTGCCACACAGGGTATCCATGCATACTGATCCTTTGCCCCTGCCAAGACTCCTCATTCCTTGACTAGCTCATGGAACCATTCCACGGTGCTTGGCTTTTTAGGCTATTTCCAATGCTTTACCAATATAAATAGCATCTGAATGAATGTCCTTCAATTTACCTTCATCTCAGATTATTTCACCACATTAAATTCCTAGAGGTGAAATTGCTAAGTCAAAGCAATTTTTTTGTTTTATTAGTCTTTTGAAAATATTGTTATTTGAAAATTTTAAAGAAAAATGACCAGAATAACACAAAAATATATCCTCTTTACCCTGGGTCACCATATCGTCCAGTTTCTGCCCTATCCGCTTTGTAATTTGCATTTATGTGAGTATCTATATAGATATAGACATATTTTTTTCCTGAACTCTTTGGGGGTAAGTTGCATACATCATGCTTATTTACCCCCAAATAAATGTGTTTAATAACCACTGTACAGTTAACAACATCAAGAAATGTAGCACTGGGGCCAGTAAGTGGCATGGTGTTTAAGGTACTGGATTCCCGCATGGCCGGGTTCGAGTCCTGGATCTGGTGGCTTGTTTCTTCACTCTCCCTCTTACTCTCTCTGGTCAAATTTAAAACTAACAATAATAAATAAAATAATTTTTATATGAAACTTAACATTAATATAACACTTTTACATCATTGACCCAATACTGTCTTTTATAACAATTTTCTCTCCTCCAATGCAGGATCCAATTTAGGATCACATATTCCATTTAGTTGTCATGTCTCTTTGGAACTCTTTAAAAGGTTCTTAGTACCTATTGCCAAGTTACCCAAGGTGTCTTCATTTTGGGGACATTTCAAAAGTGAAAACTAAATTCTATTAGAAACTTTAGTGGTATAATAGAAAATAAGTATTCATGTTTATGTGATGAAGAGCATTTTTATGAAATTGCTAAGTCAAAGCAATTTTTTTTGTTTTATTAGTCTTTTGAAAAATGAGATATGAAAATATTTATTCTACTCTGGATTGAAATGTGCTAAGTAGTGCACAGTGCCTCATGCGGAGATGTGAGATCTGTGAAACAGAGCACTGATGTTGAGAGAGACCATATGATCTAAGGAGATCCCAGGAAGCCCAACCCCAAGAACAATCCCGGAGCCCTGAGTGCTATCCCAGAGTCATTCGTTTATTTTGCTTTTTCTCCTTTGCTTCCACTTGTGCACTCCCCACCCTCCAGTAGAGTAAAAGTTTCACAATCACTGAAAAAAAAAGATAAACATGAATCCCTTAGACTTTTTGTAACACTGTCCCTCCCTTGGAAAGACTGAGCTGTCCCTCCCTGGTAGCATTTAACCAAAAATGAGGAAAAAATGTCTGACCAAAACCAGAATACTGGTGATGGGACAGGCCCAACACAACTTACGCTGGGCGGGAAAAGAGGTCAAGAATATTGGGCCAACTGTCTAGACTCATCAGCTTGGGCAGACATGACTGATGAGGAAACTGGGTTCTGCTCCTCCAGCCCCTCCCCAGGAGCTGTCTGCACAGTCTGGGGCTATCCCAACTCAAGGAGGGAAGAACGCTGAATGGTCTGGGTCGTATTATCAGCCTGTGTACCCTCAAGTGGGAAGTGGTGCTGGACAAGGGCTGATGGCTCCCCGGACTAGTCAGACGTCGGAGGGTCATCTCCAGTGGCTGCCCGCATTAAAGCTGGAGGGAAGTGGGAAGCAGAGGGTACAAAAAGAGGGTAGTTTGTTAGAAACATAACCATGCTATGTGTCTTAGGGCACTTGCCAAGTTTTGGGCTGCCTACTAGTGAATTTAGCACCACAACCTGCACCTCAAGGATGAAACTTTTTCCAAGCTAATTAAAAAAAAAAAAAGGAATTATTAAATTAATTAATTAACTATTTGTAATTTGACCAGAGAGGGACAGAGTTAGAGAAAGCGAGAGAGATAGAAAGTGAGAAAGCAAGCCACCAGGTCCTGGACTTGAACCGTGGCCAGCCGTATGGGAGTCCAGTGCCCTTAACCACCATGCCACCTGCTGGCCCCTCCATGCTAACTTATGTTGAGCACTTTTTTGTCATGAACTGTGCTAGTGTAGTGTTCCTTTCAATCTCCACATAGAACGGCTGCTATCCCTGAGATAAGAGGGCTAGGGAAGGCTGGGGCAGGGCCTCCACTGGGTCCAAAGTCCATGCCTAGCCCTCGGTGCTGCACCACCTCCTTGTTTGTTACTGAGGTTGAGGCTTCACAGCAACCGGAAGAACTGTGAGACCTGAGTTGTCCTGAGAAGTCAAACAGCTCCAGAGAGCAAAATGTGTGGAAATGCCAAACCCCAAGGTCAAGATAGAACATCCCTTAGCCCCACTTGGCTGTCCCTCTAGCCGCTCACCAAGCCCCCTGCCCCCCAGTTTGTGGTCATGGGTATTTGGAACAATGTCCACTTTGGCTTTTGGACCATTCAGCCTTCCCTTCCAAAGTCTCTTTGGCCTCATCTTCCTTTGAATTTTGCTTCCTACTTTGTAAACAATCTGGGATAAAATAGACACAGTTTTCCTGACCTTCTGGGCCTCTGGTTTTAATTTACTTACCTGAGCATTTGGTCTTCAGATAATTTTCTTCTTAGAGGTTACTGGGTTATCCTGTTCTACTAACTGTAAAATTATGAATCCTTCACTCCAAGTTCTCTTTTCCTGGAAGTCAAATTCCTGTGGAATTAGAATGGAGACCTCAGAGGGTCATCTAGTTCCTACTTATACAAAAGGCTACCTTGCAACCAGGGGCATTGCATCTCTTGGTGTTTCTAGTTCCTTAACTTCTTGTCTATGATCTAAGGGCTATAAAGGTCTCAGGAATTCCCTAAGGAAAGCCACCCCAGCCTTCTTGTCATGCCTCTCTGAGGCTTTCCCTCTAGTGTAGGATGCCAGTTCCTTTTGGATTCTGAAACACCATTAAGTAATTCCTGAAGCAAATGTTTCTCTGGTAAATACATAGCTGGTATGTACTGAGCGTTAGTTGTATAGAGAACACTTTGAATGGGTTACTCAGACCAATTCCTACAGTAACCCCACGGAGTGGGTACAATTGCCTGTGTTTTTTTACCTGTGGAATAGAGATTTCAGGAAGTACAGGCATTAGTCTAAGGTTCCCATGTAGCACGAGAGTTGGAATTTGAACTTGGGTCTGAGTGACCTCAAAGCCTGTGGTCACTACCAGCCCACTGACGTGAGGCCTTCTTTATTCTTATTGATAGCTAAGGTCAATAAAAATATTATTTCTTTATTGTAAACATTTTTTCAAAGGTAGGAGGTAATACAAAACATGATTGTACTCATACCTCAGATAAACAAGTAGTAACATCATAAATTAAGAAAACATTACCAATAAAGCAGAAGTCACCTGTGGTCCCCTCCCCAGACCCACCCTCTTCCTCCTTCTCTGCTCCCCTCCCTTCCTAAAGACAAATAAACCACCATTAGACATTGTGAGGATCCAATATATAAAGATCTTACTACATATGTGTAACATTGCTTTGTGAAAGTTTAAACTTTAGATAAATGCCTCTCATCAGTGATTGTTTTTTTTTAAAGAATTATTTTATTTATGTCCTTCATTGCTGTTATTTATTTTATATTATTTTTGAAATTAACCAGAGATAGAGAAGGAAGGTAAGAAAGCAAACCGCCAGGCCTGGGACTTGAACTGCAGTCAGCCATGTGGGAGTCCAGCTGCCTTAAACACCATGCGACCTGCCAACCCCTCATGGTGATTGTTTTATTTATGTATTTTGTTGTTGTTTTGCTATGATAAACAGTGCCACAATGTACATCCTTATTTTGTTTACATGAGTATGGCTTTCCCTATAGTCTATATTCAAAGGAGACTTACCTTGTTTATATGCGTTCACGAAAGCATTTTTTTCCTCAAGAACAAACACCAGTTTCATTCCAAATGATGCCAGCTAGCACCAATGAAACACTCACAGTACAGCCCAGTTGTCTGCCTATGTTGGAAGAAGGCTTGGAGTCACTGTGAGTTGCATCTTTTTTTTTAAGATGTAAGTTTTAATACATTATTTCTTTTTTGAACTTGAACGGAAGCTAGAACGGGATGATTCAAAAGATGACCTGTTGCAGCCGCGTAAAGTAGTGGTATTCTGTAGGGGTTCCCCTGGGCTCAGGGTTGTTTAGTGTTTTCACCAATCACACCTAGCTTTCAGGTGACTCTTTTATTTATTTTTATTTATTTATTTGCTATCACCAGATGAGGAAGCTCTAGAATGACTTCTCTTTCTGTTGCTCTCAGGAAAAAAGGATGAACTCGAATAAGATCTTTTTCATGGGGGAAGAAGAGCCCCTGTGGGATGTGGAGCTTGATTTTGACCCACAAGATTTCAAACATTCTCTAGAACTGAAATGAGATCTTGACTCTGAGCTGGAAGAACTCTTGAACGAGACCTGGACCTAGGCTTGAGCCTGATGGGGAGGATGAGCATGATGAAGATTGTAAATGTGAAGATCAAGACTTTGAGCGACTTCATCTATTAAATTTCTTTTTTTTTACCACCTTCTTCACTGCCATCAAGATTATACTTTGAGAGCTCAACATCATCTTCATCCTCATCCTCATATAATTTATATTTAGAAAGATCTTCATTCTCTTTCTCCTTTGCCCATAGATTCTTTGTTTTCTACTTCCTTTAATATAGATGAGAACCAACTGCTTTTCCTCTGTATTTTTTTTTCTTTTTATGTCTAAACTCATCGTATTGACCATCAGATTCTTCCCTTTATTTATACTCAATATTTTCTCTTTCATTAAACAATCACTATATCCTGTTCTTTCTTCTAATTTAGCATACATTGGAGTATCACATGGTACTTCTGATCTTCTGGCCCACTTCACACTACTGCAAGTTTTACATTGACAGTCATTAGCACTGAGCAGGCCTTGGCTGTTTTCTGCAAGTGTCTTTCCTATTTCATGCTCCCAACTTTCATCATGTCGGCCTCAGTTGTTTTCTCCCTGCCACACCGGTTACAGATGGTTCTTCCTAGCAAAATGTGTATTTCCACATTTCTTGTCAGGGAAAATCCAGTCCCCAATACTGACTTGGAAATTCTTGGTCAACATCTTGGAAGCCACCACCACAGCCACCCACAGCTCTGTCTTCATCAGTTCCATCTTGATAGAGGCCATGAGAGCTCTTAGATGAATGAAAATGTGTTTGAATGTCCTCAGTGTGTTTACTTGCTGCAGGAACTGATACGTTCAGGTACTGATACTGGCGTAAAGGCAGAGAACTTTACCTCAGTAATCATCCTTCATAGGGATCAGCAGTTGGCGTAATGGCTATGTCGCTGGACTCCCATGTACTCGACTGTGGTTCGCGTCCCAGACCCGGTGACTTAAACTCACACTGGGCTCGTGTGCGTGCATGCCCAAGATCCCGAGAGGAGAATGGAGGAGAAGGGATTGTGGTGTGGCCATCCCCCTTGGGGGTGATTTCTTGCTTTCTGTCTCTCTGTCTCTCTCAGTCTTCCTGGCGAGCACATGTGCCCTATAGCAAAAACCTCTCCAAAAATAAATAAATAAAAATAAAAATAAATAATCATCCTTCATAAATAAAACAAGGAATCTGATTCATAGAGCTCCAAATTGCTCTCCCATGTTACTGTAGGCCCCTTCTTGGTAAAATCTCAAAGAACATTCTGGGTTTGAGGACCTTGAATGTGAAGTTTGCACTGGAAATCATGTAGCTTCCCCAGTCCAGCTGACAAAATTTACACCAAACAGCTCTGTGAAGAGTCTACTCTTCCTGTCTCATCCCTGTTGCCCAGACAACCACAAACAAACTTAGCCCTGCCTGGCCAGGGTCAAGACTCAAGCATCCGTAAGTGGCCTAAGAACCAGATAAGAGAAAAAAGTTATACTATGTACAGAAATAGCATGTGAGGTAGGTGGGTGACATCCCATTGTCCTTTAGAGTCACAGTTTATCTTGGGTTTTACCCACTATGACCACTTAAAGTGGCGAATGTAAAAGCTGGAACATGTTTGGCCAGAGTGTTATGTCCATAGCTGGAGACTGCAAGCGTCAATGGGTTTAAGAAACATGAAAAGGACTTCTTGGATAATCATATACCATCGGAGGTTGTTAGAGAAGCTGTTTGTCCTTACTTCACAGAGCTGACATCACAGAGGGCAGCAGCCCCTCTTTGGAATCACCTGTTTCTTGAGCTGAGGCCTCATGCTGCTGCAGACAGCCTGTGGGCTCTGAATTTGGGATCCAGTACCCTACGTGCAAAATTTAATGTTATCATTAAACTTGGTCATCAAGATGAAGTACTTTTTTTTTTTTCTTGAGGGGATTTTTTTGCTATAGGGCACATGTGCTCGCCAGACAGACAGAGAGAGACAGACAGAAAGCGAGAAATCACCCCCCAGGGGGGATGGTCACGCGGCAATCCCTTCTCCTCCATTCTCCTCTCGGGATCTTGGGCATGCACACACACGTGCCCAGCATGAGTTTTAAGCCACCGGGTCTGGGACGCGAATCGCGGTCGACTACGTGGGAGTCCAGCGACATAGCCATTATGCTAACTGCTGGTCCCGATAAAGTACTTTTTGTGCTGTTTTAAAACCAAACTTCATGTAAAATATGAAGAAGAAAATAAAATTTGAAGCATAGGGTCAGTTTCAGTTTCTACATCTATAAAAGTTAAAGATTTCTCACTCTTAATTTTCTGACAGCATGTTGTCTTTTGCTATTTCTAAAGTTTCTTCTCCATCTTTTATTTTGGCCAGCTTGTTTATCTTCAATGAGTTTCATCTTCTGAAAATAATACTGTTGTGGGTCTACTTGCAAGTAAACCACAAAATTCAGGCAATTCCAATCTATGAAACCCTGCTGGCATATTTTAACAGGTAATTCAACTCAGTGTTGATTGATGAAATGTACATACACTGTGTTTTGTTTGGTTGGTTGTTCATAATATGGGGGTCCATCAGTGATATAATTGTTCATAGCGGTATTTGGAGTGCATAGACTGCAGTTCCTCTATGGGGCCTAAGATTATGGGATGCCTTCGAACTATTGAATTACTTGGAAAAGTAAATAACACGTAGGTGTTGTAATAGGAGATAATCATATGCTTCTGAGAACTTGTGCCAGTAATAGGCATGATACAAAAAGTACTACTTTTTCTTTTTTTTCAGGAAAACTATCATTCTACACTGACTTTAAAATCTTCACTTTAAATGTGTCTAAATCAGACCAGGCCATTCTCATTTACATCCCTATAAAACGTATGAAAATCTGTGTTTTATGAAAACACATGAAATTTGAAAATATAAAGCTTTGCAGGATTAATCCCATTTCTGATAGTCTCTAAACCTGTAAAAATGGGCCTCCTGAGAGCTCCTGGACTCCTTCACTGAGGGTCAGCCCTGGCTCTCCTGCTGCCCACCAGTCGTCCCAGCCTGCCTTGCCTCCTTTCTCGATCTGTCCATGATGGGGAGGCTCCCGAGAGCGTCTCTGACAGCCCCCGAATTGATTGCTTTGTATGTCCTGCCTCCCCAGGAACATCGTAAGACTTCATAATGTAGGTTCACATCACCCCAGCTCCTGGAGCGTTGGTGACCCTGTAGCCAAAGTCAGTCCCAGATGTCCTTCAGGACATCCTGCTCTGGACAGGAAACACTGGTGGCATCACCTTATTGTCAGGTTTATGTTTCTGTTCCCCCCCATAGACAGAAATAGGGCCTTCTAAGCGTGATGAGGTGTGTTCGAAAAAGTGGAGACGCTCAATTCCTTTTGCACATGAGTTGAGCAGACAAATGTCTTCACAGATTAATCAGCAGATTGACCTGTTTAAACCAAATTTCATTTGCATTGTTTCGAAGCGTGTTATCCAGCCCTAGAATATCAGTGCATTATGTTAACTAAAGAGCCGTTTTTTTTTTTTTAACTGTTTTGTTATTTGGGGAAAGCAGTACTCACGGCTGGAATTACATGTATTTTGCTTAGTTTCTATATAATTTGCTTCAAACCCAAATGTCTTAGCTCCCCCTCCCCATTCTTTTAATAGCCCATGAGACACTTTTTCCAGTGAGTCATGCAGACCAGGAGAAATTGCTGTTTGGCTCCAGGTCAGCTCTCGTACTGGAACCGTCTTCGCACCGGGAGAGAGGAAATGAGCTAGAATGGGGTGATTCACTGGTCTGTGTTTTCAGTGTGAGAGAAACAAGCGGGAAGGAGGGAGTTAAGATGTGTGCCCCCTCCACCAGAGGTGGGGTTTCCGTGACCTTCCGCAGCACTCCTGGGCCAGGAACTCTAAGGCTCCTCCCTAGACTATAACACGAGGATTTCTCACCAACGTAGCACTTCCATTTTCCTCCTAAATTTACACTGACTTGAATTTGACCCCCAAACCTTGCACGTCCACATGGCATTTCCGGAAGCCCCTGTATCCTGCACTGTTGTCCTTGTTGGAAACAACAAGCTTGTTTCCAAGTCATCCCACTGTCCCATCCTAAGCAACAGTGACAATACCTTCGAACAGGGCCCGAGTCCTCTCACAGCAGTGGTTGGCTCCGGGCAGCCTGTGACCTGCCCTACGTCACTTTTCTCTCTTTCTCTCGCCCTCCTCTGCCTTTCTCTAGAAAGTGTCAAGTCCAGGTGGGAAAAAGGGGCGAGTGTGGAGCTAGGATATTCTTACCCCTGTGGACACCCAGGTACACTCTCTGGTCACACCACCATCCTCCTGTCCTCTAGCCTGTTGGATCCTGGGATGCCTCTGGCTGACTGAGTCAGGGATTTGAACCAGGACGGCCATGTGGGATCCATTTTCTCTTGAGCAGCACTTTATCCCCGTGCCACAGAGCCGGCCCCCAAGAACATCAGTGTAGGAAGGAAACGTGCACATACACACACACACACACACACACACACACACACACACACACACAGAGGTGCACACACGTTTTGGATTAACCATGGTCAATTCATATAGATCATTTTTTGAGAGCTCAATGCTCTGGGGTTTCTAAATGCCATCTTGCCGGCATGATATACTACACTTTCACTCGTAGATCAGGTTGCCCCACGGAAACCCTTTGGGAGCACCCACTTCTCTTACAGTCTGATTCAGATCCCCATCCTCTGGACTTCATAGTACCCATGCACATCTCTGTGAGATTTCTCAGTTGCTTTTTAGAAACATTTATTGTGATTACCTGTTCCTAAGTATGGCTTCCACACTGGCCGTTTGTAGTGGAAATTGTGTCTTATTAACTTCCCACTCCCAGTTCTCAATATTTTTTTTAGAGGCTTTTGCCTTAGGGTGCTCACCAGAAAGAAACAGAGACAGTGAGAGGGGAAGTGAAAAATCACCCCCCAGGGGGGATGGTCACTCCACAATCCCTTCTCCCATTCTCCTGCAATCTCGGGCACTCATGCACACGCACCCGACGTAAGTTTCAAGTGGTCAGGTCTGGGACTCGAACCACAGTTGGCCACATAGGAGACCAGCGACCTAATCAGTATATCACCTGCTGGCCCCCAGTCCTCAATATTCAGTAGTTATTTTAAGTGTTAAATAATATTTTAAATGTTGATTAACGGTGACTTCAATCTCTGAAATAGTTCACTTTAACCTTGAACACTACTCTGTAAATGTCAGGTAAATACTGCGAGGAGGAACTTAGTGACTCTCCAGTCGGAAACAGTACTGCGTTTACAAGGGCCACAGTGTCTTCTTGGGAGTGATAACTGCAGTGCATGGAGCATGGGAACAGCTTCTTACAGATATGGAGACCTTGATTTGCAACTTTCTCCTTCTAGCCTTTGGCGCGATAGTTTGTGTCACGTTTCAAATGGGATTCTCTTCCCAGGGACTCAGGACAACTCTCCAGTTGCTTGTATATGCTTGGGCTCAGCAGAAGACTAGAAATTTGCCCCTTGCTTTTTTTTTTTTTTTTTATCCTGGCATGGCCTCTTCCTGGTGTCTGGGACAGGGCTGGATCTAAGTGACCTCTGGAAGGGTGGGAAAGTCAACCACGATCAGGTGAAACTGATCATAATATTGAGTCATCTGAAAAGTCATGAGGCATTTGTACATAAAAATAAAACATAGAAAAATACACCAGGACTTCTCCAATGACCTAATAATTAGAACAGATCTTTTCACCTTCAAAAACCTTTCTGATGGAGGAGGGACCAGCAGTTAGCATAATGGCTATGTCGCTGGACTCCCATGTAGTCGACCGCAGTTCACGTCCTGGACCCAGTGGCTTAAAACTCACGCCGGGCGCGTGTGCGTGTGTGCCCAAGATCCCGAGAGGAGCATGGAGGAGAAGGGATTGCAGCGTGGTCAGCCCTCCTGGGGGATGATTTCTCGCTTCTGTCTCTCTGTCTCTCTCTGTCTGGCGAGCGCATGCACCCTATAGCAAAAACCTCTCCAAAAGAAAAAAAAAGAAACCTTTCTGATGGAGAACTTTCTTTATGATTATTCAAGTTGAGGTAAATGGTGGTTTAGAAGCTCCAGGACAAAATGTGTTCAGTTTGTGTCAGTTCTTTAGTTACCTACTGTAGTAAATCAAAAAAGGGTAATGCTAAAAAAATCCCTTAAAGGTTAACTAGGTCCAGGGATGGTAAGGGGCTTCCTCAGGATCTTTTGCAAATTGGTGTTGGTGTTGGAGTTAAGCTGGGTCTTCCAGGTTTAACACATCATTTTACTTTGAGGTCTCAGGGTAGAAGACAAATCGTAACAGATCTGCAATTCTGGTCCTTAGCTGATTATTCAGCTAAGGGTCCCTTTCAGACACTGCAAGGGTGGATACTGGCAATGGGCTCACAACCTCACCGGAAGGAGATCACTGAAAGCAGCCAGCGAAGCCAATTCCCACGCGATTGTGACTTGTGGGTCTCTCTGACCTCTCCAGCTGAGTCTGTTCTTTCTTGTGCCCTGTTTGACCCAGACTTTGCAGGGCTGTCCAAGGATGGCTCCAGAAAGCCTTCTCCAATGTCACCTGCACACTGGGCAGATTCTTCTCCTAAACTTCTCCTTGCAGAGAGAATTAGAGCATATGCTGGCTGCCTGGGCATGCACTGTGACAAACCCAACAACGCCTTCGCCCACCCGTCTACACACTGTGCCCAAGGCAACTACTGAGGAGAACCTCTGAGCAGAGCCACCTAGCCATGCACTGCACTCCAGGTGCCCTGAGCCCACTGATTTCTTGAGGGAAATGCTCTATGATATTGCATCCACAGGGTGGTCAGAGGTCATGTGCCTCTTGTGATTTACAAATGGCATTTGCAGTTATAGCCACACAATCAGCATGAAACTGGGCTTCCCTAGTATGCCAAGACTGATCTCTTCATCAGAATGTTCATTTTTAAGGATATCATGAGTCATGGATTTTAGAGCCATTTAACTGTTTTCTCTTAGCATTGCTCCTTTAAGTCCTGTGCAGGGAAGCTGATGTATTCTAAGACAACAGGGTTTCTCATTACCTGGCTGTCATGCTTCTTGTCTTATTCATGTCCCCTCTTGCTCTGACCACTTCTACCTCTGCTCCCCTTCCACATGACTTTCTGGAATCTGAGTCTCCCTTATTTTTTTAGGTCCCTAAATATTTCTTCTCTCTCTCTCTCTCTGCCCTTTATCTCTCTCTTTAAGAAGGGATTTTTGCTCTAGGGCAGGTATGCTCACTGGAGAGTCAGAAAGCAAGAAATCATTGCCCAGAGGGGATAGCCATGCCACAATCCCTTCTCCATTCTCCTCTCAGGATCTTGGGTACGCACACACACACACATACACACACACACACACACACACACCATGAGTTTTAAGCCACTGAGTCTGGGACTTGAACCAAGGTTGACTACGTGGGAGTCCAGCAACGTAACCATTATGCTATCTGCTAGTCCTGGTCCCTAAATATTTCTGATTTCTAGTCTTTACTTTTCACTTTCCCCATGTTTCTTCTTGGCTTTTCATTCATACAGAGAAGTAGCAAAGCATATCTTCAATAGTAAACATAGAGGTCCTTAAATAGGGCATCTGTGATTATTGTTAGAAAGGATTCTGGGTCCAAATGACAGCAAAAAAATCTAGGATGGGAAAACCAGACACAGTGGTGTGCTCAGGAGGCCGATGCAGAAGGATCATAAGGTTGAAGCCAGCCTCGGCCACATAGTGAGACTCTGTAAAAAAAAAAAGGATGGGATCAATGGAAAATGGTATTTTTGGACTTTGTAAAAATTAGTATTTATTTCTTTTCATTAAAAAAAAAAAAAGAAAGAAAAGAAAAACTAGATTTCTGGGGACCAGCAGATGGCGTAGCGATGGCATCACTGGACTCCCATATGGCTGACTACAGTCTGACTCCTAGACCCAGTGGCTTCAAAACCACAATGGGTTCATATACATGAATGCCCAAGATCACAGAAGGAGAATGGAGAAGAGATTGTGGTATGGCTCTGGGGGATGATTTTTTTCCCATAGGGGATAATTTCTTGATTTCTTATCACTTTCTGAATTTAATATTAAATATGAGGTGAATCCAAAATAGACGGTAAAAAACATATTCTAATGAATCTTCCCAGTTTTCTCATTGGGGAAGGTGCAGAACCATCTTGACCACCAAATGACGTTGAACTTGGTCTTACAAATGCACAGACAACAGCAGACAGGGTCACTTGGGCTTAGGGGTAGTGTCATGGGATAGCCTGTATGTGCATGCACGTGTGTATGAGCTTGTGCACCAGGGCTGGCACTACTGGCTTGGAAGATAAATTGTGAGTGGAGGATTGGATGGTGGGACTAGGACTGGAGAGTAGACAAGGACCAGGTCATTCATCCAATCGATTTACCGAACATTTTGCAAGTTAAGTGCCAGGCCCTATAAGAGGTACTGAGAACACAATAGGAAACAAAGAAGATGCCAATCCCCATCTTCATGAAGCTTGCACGCAAGGAAGCAGACAATACATGGGGTGTATGTTAGGAAAGAGCACCCTTGCACCTGCCATTGACTGCATGTAAGGCTTCAGGCAAGCACTCTGACCATTGTTCCTGGAGGTAACAATGCCCTCTTACCAGCCTGATGATCTGACCTGTAGAAAAGGCCCACTGTGGCACTTGGCAGGTAGTACTCCTGGTAGTGACATTTATAGGTGATGATGAGGTAGCAACAGCAGGTTTTTGTTTCATCTACCACACTTGGGGGTTAGGCTAGAGGGCCATTTCCTGTTCTTTGATTTCAGAAGGTGCCCAGATCTTCGGTACTGAGTTCCATTTTGGAAAAAAAGCTCTGTCCTCATGAGTTATTGTTCTAAATATATCTATTTTTTTTCAGACTTCTATAGTTTAAATTATTACAAATATTTTTCAGAAAAGTAATTTTAAACTCAATTCCTTTTTTTATTGTAGTAAATTACATGTAACATAAAAATTACCACCTTAACATTTTTTCATGTACAGTTCAGTGACATTGAGTACATTCACAGGTCAGCTAATGACGTGGTAGTTAAGGCAGCTGGGTCCCACATAGCCCACTGCCTGGTTTGAGTTCTAGAGCTGGCAGCTTGAGGAAACATTCCAGAAGCATATACTTGCATGGTCAAAATTCTGAAAGGAGGTAGAAATGGAGGAGGAGGGATTGCGGTGTGACCATTCCCAGTAGGGGGCATTTTTTTCACTCTTCTCATTTCTCTCTCTTTCTCTTTATCTCTCTCTTTGATGAATATAAGAACTCTCTGACAATTTTTTCTTAAAGAAGTATATTCACATTGAATACATCTACAGGACTTTTTTTATCCTCCCAAACTGAAACTCTATAGCCATTAAACACTAACTCCCCATTCCCTTCTCCCTCAAACACTAGAAATCACCATTCCACTTTCTGTCTTTACAAATTTAACCATTCTAGGAACTTCATAGAGTAGAATCATACATACTATTTGTCCTTTTGTGCCTGGCTTCTTTTACTTATTATAATGTTCTCAAGGCTCATCCATGTTACTGCACATGTCAGGATACTGAAGTGTGTATTTGAAGGCTCAGACGTGAAGTTCTGGGGCTGAGGGCTATGAGTCTTGCACTCA